CCCAAAAAAAAAAAAAAAAAAAAAAAAAAGTAATTCTGTCGTCTCTGTGGATCTCTGGGAGGGCATATTTTCCCTTAAGAACCAATGACACTGAAAACAACCAACAAACATATCAGCCTTTTGAGGGAAACATGAACATAAAAGCCATCCGAACCTACTGTTTGGGTTTACTTTTTGAGTACGAGAGACATTTAAAAGGTTAAACTTCAGAAGTGATTTTAAAACGAAATAATTTACACTCCTTTCAGTCCTCCTCCTATTCTTACTACTGCTGCTACTACCAGCAGTGTTATTGTTACTACCGTTATCAGTACTACTGTTACCACTACAGTTAGTGCTACTGTTCCTACTGTCATGAGCTCTGACTGCGAGCCAGGCTCTGAAGGAGGTGCTTTCTGTGACTGTGTCATCTGTAGGTGTGATGGATACCTACAAGACTTAAGTCCCCTGGTTGGTTGTGGAGAAGAGAGGGAGGTGGCGGGAAGGAGGGCTTCCCTTGCCTTCTCCGCAGCATCTGACAAGTTTGCAAGTCACTTCTCTTAAGCTGTCTTCTCCCTCGGCTCTCAGTACCACGCAGAACGACTCAGGTTTTCTTCTCTTTGCTCCCTGTTTCTTAGCTTCCTGTGTTTGCTTCAGGCTACAGAGTGGGGCGTTTCCCTAACGCTTTTCTCTGGCTTCTCCCCCTCTCCTGGCTCTCCCCATCTCATGACAAATGCGTCATCCTGCTGTGCACCAGGCGCTGGTCCAGACACGCAGGTGTTCAGGCATGTTCCTTTCATCCTCGGAGCTCATGTCCTGGCAGGCAAGGCAGATGCGTGAGCACAGAGGCCACGCTGTTCTACTCCACCCTAACAGGGCTCATCACGGAGCCTACTGAACCTATACTACCTGAAATTCTGTAATATATTAACAGTAATAGAAAATTTAATCACCGAGTAAAATGTCTTTCTTGGCAAAACATACCCTCCAGGAGTGGCCTGGGCTGCCGGGGAGAGCGTGGCCTGCTGGGACTCAGATTCCAGCCGTGGCCCTCATGAGCCTGTGACCTGGGCACATTCCTTACCTGAAAATGGATGTCGTAGGTGTGTCTGAGGATTGCCATGAGTATTAATATCAAAGGCATAGGTAGAGGAGCCCCTGGGGCACAGTGGGTTCCCGCCCTCTCTCCTCTTCCATCCCTTATCCTCCAGCCCAGGGCTTGGGGGATGGTTCTTCCGGGACCGGGGGCGGGAAGGGCCAGGATGGACCCTGTGAGGGGTGGGGAGGTGCAGGACTGTTGACTGAGGAATGGGATGGGCTGTGGTCACGGTTTCCCGTTTTAGATCATCAAGCTCATCAGTGGCCACATCTGTCTCCTTTTGGAGATTGAAGGAACTGGCTAGCCCACTTCTTTTTCCTCTGCTGTCACCTGTTGCTTCTGATCGGGGTGAAGATAAACTTTTCAGGAACCTTGGGATTTTATAAGCATTTAATATTGGTACATCCAGTTGTAGTGCTAATTAGATGATTTTGTCTGTCAGCCAAGTTGAGTGGCTTACAGTGTACAGATTCAACCCCTGTGTCGTTAAAGCCCGGTTCTTGAATATATTTTGAAGTAATGCATCTGTGTGTCCTTAAAATCTGATGTTGGTGTCTCGTGGTTGCTTTGCGTTTATTTCTAACTGAATGAACTGAGCGCACACTTGTCAAATGTTCACTGTATTTTGTCTCTGGCCTGAGTCCCATGGGGGTGGGACACAGGGATGACGGTGACTCCCAGGGTCTGGGACCTTTGTGGAGACAGTGCAGGTGTTGAGGGCCACTGAACCCAGCACCTCAACTGAAGCAAAATCAAGGGTGGTGGGGAAATGGAGGTGAGGGGATGTATGGGTCCTGGGGTCCCTCGGCCAGGCTGCCTGACAGTGACACAGGAAGCTCCAAGGATGCTGAATTGTAACTCTCGTTTGGCTCAGAAAAGGTATAACGAACAATCGGTTTGAAAACCCTGTCTGCATTATTTTTCTCCAGATGGTGCCGTGTATGAAGCCCAGGCTCCTAACAAGGAGACCCAAGGAGCACCAGAAGTTATGGGGGCCCCGGATGTGCATGTGGAGGTGCCTGTGGCCAGGTGGGTGGCGGGCACCGCAGGACTGTGCCCACCTCCTTCTTACTGCTGCTCCGTCAGCCCAGCCTGCATCTCATCCCCAGCCCCTCCCCAGAGCTCTCCCTGGCCTCTAGAATGTTCTTTGTCCCCTGCACTTAGCTACTGCTCATCTTTTAGATCCTATGCTGTGCATTTTCTTGTCTGCCCATCTTTCCCCCCAAGGCTCTTCTGCTACCAGGATCCTTCTTAGCACACGTCACAGTTCGTGATGGCATACTCAGCCTTATTTGGTTACTGTCCCTTTTCCACGCTAAGCTGTAAGCTCCATAAGAAGGCCATGGTCTGCTCTGCTCACTTGTGTAGCCCCTGTTCCTAGCAGAGGTCCTGGCAGGTAGAAGGCTTTTAGGAATCATCAGTGGAAGGGTGGGATGATGGTATAATCAGACCATGTGGTCGGGAATCATGCATCTGCCCCGTCCCAGCTTCCCGACCTCAGGCCTCAGTCTCCTTGTGCATGCGGCGGAGATGATGTCACTGTGCAGGTCAGCCTGGGCACCAAGTGAAGTGTTAATGCCCAGTCCAGGGCCTGGCACACAGTGGACCCTCTCTCTCTGTGTCCCTCCTCCTGGCCTCATGGAGGAGAGAGGTGGAGTCCTGCGCGGGACAGGGGGACTGGAGGGGAGAGGTGAGGGGGGAGGGGCTCACTTCGAGGCCTGGTGCCTGGACAGGAGCAGAAGCAAAGGGCCCCAGGCCCGAGTCGGAGGCCTGGGTTCCAGCTGGCTCTGCCCCGCACCCCCCCCAATCCCAGTGTACCCAGCAGGTCTCCAAGGCCTCTGGGCCCCAGTCCTGGGCCTCAAAGGGGAGTCTGTGCCAGGTAAGCTCCGAAATGCATGACTTTGCCTCTGGTATCTACATGGAGGCATTAAAGGTCCATTTCCAATTATCGGCTTTTGAGAAAATAATTTATATTCTGTATAAGGTCAGTATTAGCATTTCAGTCCCATTTTTGTTCCTCTTAAATAAAGTGGGTCCCAGCCCTGCGCTTGCCCCGAATCACAGGAACCAGGGAGCTTTCCTGCTCCGCTTTCAGTACTAATCACTCTTAACCTTGTCATTTGTTTTTAACTTCTGCAATTTTTTCCCTGTGATATATTTTTAAAATGTCATAACTCTGTCTTAATGTAGCAGCCTTCCACTTCCTCTTGACATTTTGAGCACTTTTCTCATATGTCCTATTGTATTTCCTAAATTACTAGTAATATTATTCTTTTCCTCGAGATGACAAAAAATGACCCAAAGATTTGGTCTTCTCTTAAAACCCAAACTAACAGTTTAAATATTTTTATTGCATACTTAAGAATTTTATAGTAATAATATTAAGACATTTTAGGCAGTTACTTTTTTATACCAAATTTATCATCCACACTTCCACCTCCAACATGAATTATTGTTATTGATCTATTATTGTGTGTTTTCTGGGTTGTACGCTGAGAGTGTCTGGCACAGTTTTAAATGGAGGTAAAGTCCTAGTGTGTCAAATAGTGTTTCCATAACTGTTTGGGAACAGTAAACGTAAATTTCCGTTGCTAGCGTATTTGAGTTCCATTGTGTTCGAGGCTGTGGAGTGAGATGGGTCTCCCCAGACTGGTGTGTAGTGGGAGGGAAGAAGAGGCTTGATGGGGGGAAGCGGTGTCCACACCACATGACAGGGGCTGCACACCTGGAGAACTGCATGAGGGGCGTTGGCTTTCATTTGTGTTCTGGTGCTAAGCTCTTGGAGCCACCGGTATCCTTGTGGAAGGAGGGGAGGGTACTTGTTTTCATGCCCTTAGGACTTTCTGGTTCATAATGAAGAACGGGTTGGCCTTTATATTAAACTATTTGATTATGGTGGTGCCTTTTATCATAACCTGGAGCGCTTTTCTCATGCTTTTGAGTGACTGGCTTTAAGCTGTGGGCGTCTCATCATTCCCTGAATGGCTGGTGGCTGCAGCATTGCGCTTTCTCCACTTCTGTGTTGCCGGAAAGATAAAATGTTACAAAATATAACATCCCAACTAGTCAATTTATGAATTTGGAGTCAAACTGAGATGGACGAAGGGAACCTCAAGAATGAGGACCCCTCCGGGTCCAAGGGGGCAGGTGTGGTTTGTTCATCCTGTTGGTAGCTGCTGACGCCTGTGAATAACAGGGTCGCAGGTCAGGGTTGAGGCCACTCAGACCGTCCTGCAGTAGCATCGGCCTGCGACGCTGCACTCCCGCTGCGGAGTGACGGTTGAAGATGAGGTTCGGATGAGTGTGGAAGGTGGGCTGTCCCTTATTCCTGCCGGGTGCCATCGTGTAACATCTGCTTTTTTTGTGATGGTGAGTGAGGCTGACTGTGGCCTCTTAACCTTTCCTTCACTCCAGTGCCTAGAAGCTTCCCCCCCGGACTTCTGAGTCAGTCAAGAACTCCTTGGAGCTGTGCAGAGAGGACAGGGCAGCTGCGTTGGAGCACGGGGCAGGGGTGTCAGGTGCTCAGTGGTAAAGAGATTGTTTTCTCTTTAATTTACCCACAGAGTGATACATACTTTCAACCAGATGTGTCACTTTTTCTGTCCTCCTACATCAGCCACTTGGTTTTCCACCACCTGACACCTTTGCAGTTGATTTCAAAGAGCCGCTCATTTTCCTGCATATGTTGGAAGGTGCATGCTTACATTCCAGGGCCTCTGGTCGTAAAAGCTTATTCTGGAGAACAAACTTGACATTGAGACCCTCGTAGAATTCTGTTGACACCCATCTTTGGCTCATGAGAGAATCAAGATTGAGGTGCCGGGTTAGAGGAGCTGTGCTCTGAGTTAATGGAGTGATTTCAGTGCCTGTATCATGAATGGTGAAGCTCAAGCCACTGAACCCTGTTTGTCCTGAACCAGGTGGTTCCTGAACAGGACGAAAGGCTAAGCTGTGGAAAATATAATGAAAGTGAAAGGGAGAACGCTAGGGATTGAGACTCTGGCTGTGGCAAGACATTAGAAAGCGTTTTACTGATGGTCAACCATGGTGACAGGGACTATGGTCCATGGGCGTTAGTCACCTTTTTCCTCTTCTATGCTGCACTGTCTCCTTTTGAGTTTTCACTTTTAAGAAATTATGATTTACTTTCAGTGCCTCGTTTCTCATCGGCTTTAGTAGCGGTTAATGTATCCCCTTGCCATCTACCGCCCCCTCCAACCTTTCTCTGTCCGAGCTTGAGTGGAGGACAAGGGTGATTGAGTTAACTGTCTGCTTTATCAGCCTCGATTCTCCCAGAATGCTGACTTCTTACACCAGCTTCGATTTTAAAGTCCTGAGTTATTATACCTCAACGTTAAGGAAATGATTTTTAGCACTTGTAATATGCACAAAAGTGACATCAGATGTTAAGACATTGATGTTGAAGTTCTCTCTGATTTAAGGACTACTTTTGTCACAAAGTAATGTCTTCTGCCAGATTTAAGATTATATTTATTTATTTAATATTTTTAAATTAATTAATTAATTTATGTTTGGCTGCGTTGGGTCTTTGTTGCCGCGCGGGCTTCCTCTAGTTGCGGCGAGCGGGGGCTGCTCTTCGTTGCGGTGCGCGGGCTTCTCATTGCGGTGGCTTCTCTTGTTGCGGAGCATGGGCTCTAGGCGCATGGGCTTCAGTAGTTGTGGCGTGCGGGCTTCAGTAGTTGTGGTGCGTGGGCTTCAGTAGTTGTGGCGTGCGGGCTTAGTTGCTCCGCGGCACGTGGGATCTTCCCGGACCAGGGCTCGAACCTGTGTCCCCTGCATTGGCAGGTGGATTCTTAACCACTGCACCACCAGGGAAGCCCCCTATATTTATTTTTTATAAGTACTTTAAAAAGAGAAAAATGCCCAGAATTGCAGTCTCTGTTTAGCCAGGACCCTGACCTTTGATTCCTTTTGGGGGAAATAGTTCAGCATCTCTCCACACATGCTCAGCTCTATTTTAGCAGAGTAGCTTTACGATATCATTTTGCAGCAGGCAATAAGCAGGTGTATAAACCCCAGGTCTGCAGTTGATGCATGAGAAGGCTTGACTGAAATCACAGTGGACTGAGTCCAGGTCTGACCTCTGCTGAAATTCACTTATTTTCAGGGAGTCCCAGAGAGTCTGGCAGGAAGAGAGAGGGCCTTTCCTTAGATTCTCCAGCAGCTACCAGGGTGGTCACCCTCCACTGCACTTCCCGTAGTTCACTTCACTCCAGAGATAAGCTAAGAATAAGACACTAACTGCAGTAAAACCAAAATTATGTGGACTAATTAGGAGAAGGTCCGTCTGAATTTGTGTAATCTCTGAATTGTTCAGTTAGAAAAAACATAACACAGCTTTAAAGCTTTGTTACTTTCAGCTGCAGAGTGGCTCAGACTAAGCTCATATCTGTCCTTGGAGTTCGCACATTAATGAATAAATTAAAAAGTGTAATTAGCACTATTAGGATGCCTTCGGCTGTAAAGAACGGAAAACCGAAGGAGAAATGGCTTAAACAATAGGAGACACTTACCACGCATGTACTAGAGGTCTAGAGGCTCCCGGCAAAAGCTGCAAAGGTTCCAGAGCTGCAGCCCAGCGGCTTCTGGGGTCACTGAGGGCTCGTCTTCCCAGGGCTCCACTGCCTTCCTCAGCACGTTGACTTTCGGCCTCGGGCTTGTTTCCTTAAGATGTTACTTAGGCTCTGGGCGAGACGCGTGAACATCCACAAGAAGGAGAGAGAGACTGTTTCCTTCCCTGAGACTTTTGCAAATAGTGAGAAAAGTCTTTACTATATATTGCTGAATCAGTGAATGAGTCAGTGATCTGCATCACATCAATTATTCTGTGAAAGAATGTGCTTTTAACTTCTCTTTAAGTGCAGTTTGATCAGCCCCAGCCAACTTTCTTCATCACAGTTCCTTCTCTGTGTAGACCATAGGGAGAGAACGCTCATGCAGTCAGGGTCTGAGTTCTCAGAAGGTTTGGGTGACTGAGGTCTGGGCTAATGGGATCGACTGTATTGAATACACTTGTCTACACAGCTGCAGAGCTCAGCGCTGCACATTCAGGGGTCAGCTGGCAGGAGCTGGCAGGTCCTTGGGGCTTGTCACTAACATCAATTCTGGTCACTCGGTAAGAGCTGGCTTCTCCACCCACTTTAGCTCAGGTGTAGCTACGCGACTTGCCGTCACTGATGACGGGTGACACTTCCAGGCAGAGGCATTAAGAGCCAGCGTGGGGTCGGCCACGTGCCTTCTTTGCCTCTGAGGTTGAGGAAACAGCAGGGCTCGGAGTCTCCTGGGTGACTGATGAACGGGAGGCCTTCACCAGCCCACCTGTTCCCACTGACACAGACACGTAATTGAAGGAGCCCCTGTGGGCACCTTTATTTTGGCCCCAGAACCACACGATTTTCCCCCGGTGTGGAGAGAGGTTCCAGGACACCAAGTATGATAGCTTGCTGCCTTTTGCCAGCAAGTTATGACAACCGGGAGATTATCCACAAGGGGAGTGCGCACACGGCCGGGGGTAGCAGGACCAGCAGGCCGTGGTGGTGCCCCTTGGGCCCAGAGGAAGAGGGTGCTGCTCAGGTCCCCAAGGGTGCGCGGAGAAGCACAGAGGTGTCTGCAGTGACCACTCTCTCTGTTTTACACAAAAGGGATTTATAGTGTCTCAAAGTTTTCTCCAACAGTTTTATTAAACAGGTTTGTCACCAAAAGTGGCGTCCGGCTGTTCGCTGCTCCAAAGCCAATACTCGAGGGCAAAGTTGGTGGAAAGGAAAGTTTGCTTTATTCTGGAGGCTGGCAACTGGGGGTGGGCGGTGGGAGGCTGGACTCACATCTAAAGGCTGATTCCTGCACCACTCACAATCAGGGGGCAAGAGCTTTTACAGGCGGAGGGGGGGAGCTTCATGCAGGAACAGCACAGTCGGCTCTGATGGTCATCTTGAAATTGGTCACTGGTGCTCTGACCAGCATCATCCTGATTGTTTTAAGTACAGTTAGTCTTCAGTTCCAAGGTCGTTTGTTCCCATTTCTTGGAGGCCAAGTCTCAGAATTGTGGCAACTTGTGTCATGGCTACAATCTGGTCATCATGGAGTTCACTTCTCCCACCTGGTGGGGTTTTCAGTGTCTACAAGACAGCTCCCAGGACATGGCTCAGATTATTATCTATAGCCCTTGAGGAGGGACTAAAGGTCCTTGACTCTGCTAATGACTAAACTATTATTATTTTGTCCTGTTTGTTTTTCTTTGCTTTGCATTATCTCTCTTCTCTGGTTAAAGTTATTCTTTGGCTAGAGTTTTCCTGCAGACAGAAGGCAGCTGGAGGACACGGACAGGGAAAGACTATAGGGTCCCGCTCCGTTTCAGGCTGGCCCTTGGTTGGAGGAGCCAGAGGTAAAAATGCAGAGCAGACGCAGCCTTGGACTTGAAGTAACCACTGTGGAAAAACTGGTGACCTTTCAGCTTTACCTGTAGAAATGGTCAGAAAGTCACATGGCTTCATGCGCTCTTTGCTTTTTAAAGGACTTTGACACAGGTTGACTGCGGCTAAATTTAACACATGGTGCATTTTCTCTCCAGAAACCAGCCAAGATAGTGAAAGAAGAGACACATAGTCACATGCCTAATTTTGAAAGCAACAAGGTGAGTTAATTCTACTTTTATTTTGTACTTGACGGCTTGAGGCTAAGGCGCCTTTTTATCCTTTTAACATGTTGGGTGGAGCTCTTGTTTGATGGAGAAGGGGTCAGAGAGCCAAGTCATTCCAGGATGCGAATCAGCACAGGGTTGGACCAGAGTGTTCCTCTTCTGCAGGCTGTACCTCGCATCAGGTCTCTTGTGTGCCAGAAATTACAGTCGTTTTCATGGCTTCTGCACTAGGCTTTGCCACCTTTTACTCTACTTCCAGTCACAGACTGAAAAGCTCTTTTTTCCAACATCTTTCAAGATATATTTTTAGAGGGGGAGGAAGGAGAGGAAGGAAGGACGGGGGGACCATGGCAGCAGGCGTGGGGAAGCTCCATTGTCCCGGATACCTTGGACATTGGTTCTGTGGATAGTCAGTGTTGTGTAAACGGCACGTCTTGGCTGAGGACATGTGCAGCACGCGCTCTATAGGTGGCAACATGAGCTAGCGCAGAACGCACTGTGTGGTTTGTGTTTGTCCAGTTGCTTTACATGTGCCGTCAATGCGGGAAGCATGTTTCTTTCCATGGTACGTGATGAGATTATGTGACTAATCTGTATAAAATATGTGTATTGGGAAAACAAAATTTACTTTAAATTTTTTAGTCGAGGGATATTTCACAACTAAAACTTGTATATTTTTAAGGTGCACAATTTGATATACGTATCCACTGTGAGATAAGCGCCGTAATCAAGCTAATTAACATAGCTGTGTGTGTGTGTGTGTGTGTGTGTGTGTGTGTGTGTGTGTGTGTGTGT